GGGGGGGGGGGGGGGGGACTTGACAACCTACCATGAATCGTAGGAAGGACACCCCCAGTTCTTACAAGATCCCACGACCCCGTTTAGGGCGGTCGGACCAATTCTCAGGTTCTGGCATATGAGATCCAACTCATAGACCCCTAATTGAACAAAGCCAGGTTCCTTATAAAGGCCATAATGCTCGGATCCGGACTATACCCTGTCTTCGTCATGGGTCCACATGAACTTTCAGGAATGCGCAGCGTGAAAAACTAAAGTGACTAAAACTTTCCAAGCATCACACAGCACGGCCTATAACACACAGATATATATATATATATGTATCTAAACACCTGTACATAAAAACACGTCGACATCTATAACTGTACATACATATATAGACACATATGAATATGTATATCTATATATATATATATACACACGTACATATATACACACTTACATATTTACACAGTTACATACATATATATATATATACATATCTACATATATACATATCTACATACATACATACATACATACATACATACATACATACATACATACATACATACATATATATATATATACATATATCACGGATGTATATGTGCGTGCATATATACATATATATATATACACATACATACATACATACATACATACATACAAACAGACACATGTGTAGAGACATGTTTGTAACTGTATGTGTTTATGTGGGTATAGTTATAAATGTGTAACTATATGCCTACTGTTTACACATTCACATGCATAAATATGTACATACGTACATACATACGTACATACATACGTACATACATACATACGTACATACATACATACATATGTTACATACATACATAGATACATACATACATACATACATACATACATACATACATACATACATAAAAAATCCTATACATACAAACATAGACATACACACATACATGGATACATACATACATACATACATACATACATACATACACATACACATACACATATACATAGACATACACATACACATACACATATGCATAAATACATATACATGCATACATAAGTACATACATACATACATACATACAAACATACATACATACATACAAACGCGCATACATACGTATCTATATATATATATATACAGTACATATGGACTAGTGTGAGCATATGTGTGTGTGTGAATATCTATTGCACATGTTTACATTGACATAGGCTTTATATTTGTATATGTAGTTATACACACAGACAGCATCCACGTATAGGCACTGTAGATGCTGAGGCTCGCTCCTGGTACTTGCTCGTGCGCCTCGGCAACGATAATGGGCAGAATCTTCTTGTGGTGAAAATCGTGGTGGGAGACCACCCTAAAGCCTGAACCCTAAGCGCTAAACCCCAGCAACACTAGCATCAATCTCAGCATCGCCACCATGACAACTGTGAACATGCTCATCCCACTCATTAGCATCATCATGCTGTAGGGTTGATATGGGGTTTAGGCATTGGGGTCTAGGGTTGAAGGGCTTACATACCCCCTACAACTTCAGACACTTCGGAGAGGGTGAGTTGAGGCTTGGAGGTTTCGGAGTGTTGAAGTCAATCCTAAACACTAAACCCTAAAGCCTAAACCCTAAACCTTAAAACCTAAACCCTAAACCCTGAAACCTAATTCCTAGCCTCGAAGCCCCGAGAAGGGCACCCGAAAACCCGACCTTACGTGGCTTCTTTGGGTGTCGTGTTGGGGATTCCTCTACTGGTTCCTTTACGGACTCCTTTCAGGGATCCTGTAAAGGGTTTTTACAAGGAGTTGATTAATGTGTTACTCCATGGGTTTGTTAAAAGGAGTCCCCACCCACAACCTTGAAGGGCTCAGGAAAGAAGGGAGAAGGCATGGAATTGAATAGGTGGCGAAACAGACGCGGCAAACCAACACACTCCCGCACGGAGAACATGCAAATCTGCACAGTATAGGGTCCGGATTGGAACATGTATGTGTAATGAATAGATACAGCTGCTAAATACTTGGGCACATGAGTGAGTCACAATGCGCGCTTAAGCCCACACCACTCCACATATTTCGGATTGCGCCGGATCTGTGTATAGGCTTGATTTATCAACACCCTTTGTGGTAACCCAAAATTTCTTTGGCCTCAAGCCGTGCACCCCAAGCACTAAGTACTTCAGTTGGGGTCCGCACGCTTCGTCCTTTGGCGGATATGTTCCAGGCCTGGGAGACAACACCGTTGACAAGACTTCCACAAGGGGTTGAAAGTGCTTTAGGTTCGAGGATAGGGGCTAAAGGCAAAACGTGATATGATGCTTGTGATGTAAAGATAAATGCGGCCTTACAAGGGCTTGGAATTCAAGATTCAGGGTCTAGTGTTCATATAAGTATAGGTCTAGTATTTATAGGTACAGGGCATTGGAGTTCGAACTGCAGTGGGCACAATTGTTTACGGTTTTAGCTCCAGGACTTGGTTGAGGAATGGGCGTGCAAAGGAAACTAGCTCCGAATCCACGGCCCTGCAGGGTTTTTCACGCCAAAGAATCTGACAACCATTGCGTTGCTCAACCGGGGTCATCATTCATCCGGGGCAAGCTCTTGGGACAAATTCAAGCTCTTTAACTCATAAGGCTTTATGTCTAAACGGATCGAAATAGCAACATAATTCATGTTGCTGCGGTAGATCGCGCCATGCGTTGGGACAGCTGCCTTTGATGTCAACTCAGGAACTGATTGTGCATGAGGCTTGCGCACCATGAACCCCAAAGCCTACGTAAAAGATCTGCCCTGCGCTCATTCTATTTCCACAACCATAAGATGTGCTGGGCTTTGCGGGCTTCGGCTGCTGCTGAGAGCTACGAGGCCTCGTAATTCAAGCTTTACAGCACAGCAGAGAAGCCCTCCTGGGCAGTCCATCCTTCAACCTGTCACAACCCTAAAGAACACCAAACCCTAAGCCCTAAACCCTACACCTCAAACTCGAAGCCCCTGAGGCCCCAAGCCCCCAAGGCTCCAAACCCTAAAACCCAAAGCCCCTGAAAAGAAACAGCCCAAAAGCCTCGAAATCCCCAAATACTCGTTTCTGAATTCCGAGCCCTGAGCTCCCTTAACCCCCAAACCCTCACACCCCTTCTATAATCTAGGAGCCTTAATAGTGAGAATAGGGTCTTGGGACCCATTATACTATAGTGATAGGAGGGGCCCCCAAAATAGTATAGGTAATTATTTATGCAACTTTTTTTTACTCCCTGTAGCCTGCACCCATGTTTGGAGCCAGATGTAAACTCATCATACGACTCTGAACGCCCTATAGGACCCTTCGAAGAACCGCTGATTAAGCCAAAATCCCTAAAGGAGCTGTATCCTGGAACCATTTTGTTACCCTATGTTTTCGAACATTTGCTCAGCCCTATTTTTAGATTCCTATCATGGAACCTTTGAGGGAACCAAGTTATGGAACCCTATTGTAGAAGCCTTGGTGGAACCCTATTCTATAGTGAAACCCAGAAAGTTGGAACATGGATTTAGGAATTTGTATGATTTACCTTAAGGGCATGAAGATAATAATGTCCCAGCTGTCTGGCTTCTACTGTCAAGGAACCCTATTCTAGAACCCTCTTAGAGAAACCCCAAACCCTAAACCCTAAACCCCCCTTTCACGCGCTCCCTTTCTGCAACTCTCTGCTTCGGAAAGAGCCGCTGCAGAGCTTCGACCGGGATGCCAGTCCTAGATCTTCGCGCCAGGGGTTTCGGGGTTTGGGGGTTTAGGGTTTAGGGCTTTAGGAGTTTAGGGTTTTATGGGTTTAGGGTTTATAAGGCTTTAGGAGTTTAGGGCTTTAGGGTTTTAGGGCTTTGGGTTTTTTTGGGTTTAGGGCTTGGGGGGTTTAGGGCTTTAGGGGTTTAGGGCTTTAGGGCTTTAGGGGTTAGGGCTAGGAAACCGCAAAGACTCATGACTCCTTGAGCGAAGGTTTAGGGAATTGCGGGTTTACATAGAACCCCCAAACTACCCTCTAATATACCTGACATCCAGACGATTCAGGACCATAAGGGCTCCATGAAAGGGCACTTGGGG